TTTTTCATATACCAGCCAAATACAGGAAGGGTTCCTGTTATACTAGTTCCCTCAACCAATTCAAGGAAGTTCAGGGGAATCTGAGCAATAGATTTGATGGTCCATAGCTGTTGATACAATGTGTATTGACATGTATTGACCCTGTGTAGATCAAGACAGCCCCACACTGCTTTGACCAGCCGAACATGACCATCCAATGTTGCTCCCCGGCACCTCCAATGCGACCAGTGTGAAAGCTCCTGGCGGCGCAGATTTCCGGCTGCTCCACCGTCCAGCCCTGAGCCACCGGACCTACGTGGCCACGAGTAATAGAGAGCTCAGGGCCTCAGTGCCCAAAGGTCTCAAATGGTCAATGGGAATTCCAAGATCCTAAAATAGAGGTACTGTACCATATAAGGCCATTTTTTGGGGGGGCACTTGAAATGGCCATTGAAATGATCACATTTGGCACTTGAATATCTTCACCAAACGTTCATAAACGTTCGTAATTGCCTTTGGAATCATACCGGTAGTTAAATCTTCAAGTTTGATCCCTGCTCTGTTCAAGATCTTCACTACACATAAGTAAACAACGAGCAAAAATGTGAGCAACCCTCCTGAACCAAGATTGTGGTGGCGCCCACCAGGTATGAAGAAGGGAGTCCTGGTCGCTAGTTTCAATGAGTATATATTGACAATGAAGGGGCCCCTTAGCCGGGTGGGGGCCCACCAGGTTTCTGAGCCGCACGTATTTGTTTAAAATAATTCAACTGATATTTCCGCGATAACTGTGAGTATATAATAATATTGGAATTATAGTTTGAGTTAAACCATGTTAATAACATGTTATAAACCACCTAACTAATCTTGCGTGCAGCCCTTATAGCCCTTTGCAAAGTTCTCCAGCACACAGTCATCATGTCTGAGTGACACATCTTGCACTTGACTCCACAGGACTCGCAAAATGTCGCCTCCATACTGCGTCAATTCAGATGGATACGGGGCTGAGGGTCCATATTCAACATCAAACCTGGGATTCAAATGACATTTTTCCGTTTTCCATTGCAAAAAAGGGGGCTTCAAATGATATAGAAGGAAAGGAAGTGAGATGGTATAGATATGATATAGATATGATATAGATATGATATAGATATGATATAGTTTTTTCTCTCAAGGATCCATGTGACCCTGTCCCTGACATGTCAGCGATCCCGCATTCTGTGTCATCCCTGCCAAAAAATTGAAACCATCATCCCAAAAAGGCTGAACAAATCGAGTAAACCAATTGTGTGCATACGTATATTATATAGATATACATGTGTATATATATATATATATATATGTATGTGTATATCTTTATTTATGAATATATATATATATATATCAATACAATTACATGAATATAATAAACTATGAACAAGACAAACGGATGACAATAAATGAAAAATACATAAAAATACAGTGTCTTTACATTTCCATTTTTGTGGGAACATTTGATTTCATATTTTTTAATATATTTATTGTCGGCAAATTCTCTAGATACGATTTTCTTAAACCATAAAACAGTAATAGAATATCACCAGCACATATACCTGCATTTTCCTGGGGTACAAAAGATCTGTTGTTCCCCACAAATTGGCTTGTTCAGTATCTACCTGGCAAGAAACCACTGAGTGTTTGATGGCGGAAAGATGCGAATACTATGCCCCACCTAATTAGCCTACTTATTGTAGCCAACCCTTGAGAAAACTAGACCTGCAGTTTGGCTAAACAAGCCAAAAAATGTAGGGGAGGAAGTTGCAGGTATATGGCGTGTATGTATATATATATATATATAACATCTATAATAATTAAAAATAAATATCCCATTAGATCCGCCAGAAATTCTCCACCAGCACCTGCCCGCAGCCGCAGCGCAGGCTCCGCGCGCTGGCGCTCGTTCCGCAACGGGCGCAGAAGTGGCGGCGCCTAAACGGGGGCTGAGTGAGAAGGTGGTGCCCCATGGGATGGCGATGTAGAGGTTGAATGGGATCTAAACATATTTGTACTGTATACTGGGATTTAAATATACTGATGAGTTATACTGAGATTTATACTTGGATTTATATTGGGATTTAGTTGGCTAAGTTGGTGCAAAGAACTCTAATTTCACTCGGATTTATGGCAGAGATATCTATTAATGCGGGTTGTAAAGCTACTTATAACTGGGGGACGCCACGCACATGTTTATCATGAAGGTTTACCCGATGGATGGGGCCCATTTCTTCGTGGTTCCCTAAGAAAGCGCTGAGAGGATGCTACAATTTACCAAAAAAAAACGCCAATTGAAACTCATGCATGCGAATTACTTATGTAGACTACCTGACTACCACTTAGTGAGTCTTGTTGACCGTACGAAAGTCACTTCCTTGGGAAATTGTTCAAATTAATGGGGATCTGGCCATATCATACTTGCTAGGCCACGGTAAGGACGAATCCCGAACCTTGTTTCAGGCTGAAATTGACGCTTCCCTGCAATCAGTCTGGTAAACAAACAGGGCATTGGGACGTTCCTTAGCAAGGAAAATCATCCACATATATAGACATTAAAAACTGATGATTCCCAAGTTCAAGATTAGATCGCGAGATATTACATGAAGTCAACTCCTTGCTGGCTCATCCCAGGAATCGTGTTTGTGGCTTAGTTCACCCCAGTTGGAACTTAGACATACTTTCACGAATGGTACTTGCCCCACTTACAACCGGGGTTTCCTGGGTTTCTTCGGCCCGTCGCCGAACAAACTGAGCGCCAAACATGGGAGGTGCCGCTTGCCACGCGAGCGGTGGCTCTTCAAAAAGCAGCCGCCCTACCGGCAAGTCTTGGGTTGCCACCAGCACCTAGGACCGATGCGGAACGATGCCACTTGGCGGTCTCCAGCATTGGTTGCCCAGAAACACCTGGAAAAAGAAACAGCAAAGCAGAACTATGATAGTTGATGATGGTTGATAAACGTTGATAGTTGATTCAAATCCAATATTTTTCTGGGCACGTTCGTAAGTCTGGAAATTTTCTGGGGGCACTTGAAGCTCGTCTCGACCAGTTCGGCTTCACTGTACAGCACTGTGCCATACTGTGCCCCTTAAGTATGTAGACAAATCATCGGGTAGCATCGGATACCAGTGGGTGATCCAACATAGTTGTAGAAAATAACCATTGCTAATATGTTCATGATAAATCATCTATACATTATATATATATATACAGTATATATATACTATATATATATATATGTGTGTGTGTAATATGCACAAATCAGCAATTTATTACCGGATGGTATATATCATATGTGGTTCAAACTCAATGAACACAATTTTTTTCAAAAAAAAACAACATTAAATCCCATGAGCCTCAGCGGTATAACAACGTGACCGCCTGCTTCCACCCATCCCAAGGCGTATCCGTGTGTTTTTTGGACAGTTCATCATCCGAGAGAAAGGCCACGCTTGAGGTTGAGAAATGGTGATCTAATGGGATTTAATGGGAAGTCAATGAAGGGTATAATTAGTATAATCACATATAATCACTATTATGGGGGTACAATCGGATAAGACCTGCAATATGGTGGCCCCCCCAGCTATAACTTTGTTTGTTCACCTGACTGCAGGTACATAGTGACCCTTGGTGTAAACCAACTTTTGCTAACTATTTGGCACCACGTTGCACTTGAAACCACAATCCGGAAACAACCAAATCCAGTGCGTAGAATCATGTCCTTTCACTATTGCTCATTGGTCATTTCACTCCAGAGCTGGAAGAAAATAGTTGAATTGAAGCCACGAGTCATGGGGTTGTCAAATTGGCAAATTCATGCTGTTTCCCCTGCTTTAAAACACACCCGGCACCTATCTTTCCTCCACAGCTGGCATCTTGTGGCCAAAATCTTCCCCCATCGGCCCACTGGGTTCCGTGCCCCATCCGTCCGGCTGCGCAAGAGATCTGAAGGAATCACCTTCCCGGACAGGGCTGAACACTGCCTAGATCCCAGTTTGGGAATAGTGGGAGTGAACATAGGCCCATGGGCTTCCTTCTAGGCAAACGTTTAGCTAGCCCTTCCTGACATAATTTCACTAGGGTTTCATCATCTCTTGATGGGGGGAACATGGATGAACCACACCATCAGAAATAGGAACTTCAAGTAACGCGCCTTTAACCCAATTATACATACACCATCCCCAATGGAGGTTTACTATTCGTTTACTACTGGGAATGCCTCATACATGTTGGTATCATGTAAAATCAAGCGTCAAATGGTTGGTTAATGATGTGGTTCATGGAATTGGCTTTACCACATTATATAGTGATGATGGTAGCATGTGACTGTGGCCCGATCTTGGCCCTGGACGCCACAATGATCCACCCCCAAAAAAGGGCTGCACATCCAAGTAATCCCTTCCCCCAATCATATTATAGTCATTTACTAAATACACACACATATGCATATGTAACATCCCCAATTTTTGAGACCCCAAATCAGTGCACTCAATACATGTCACCTGGGTTTCATTTGGGGGTACTAAGGGATTACTAACCGTCGACTCCCTACAAGTTCAATGCCTCCTGCAGCGGAGCCAAGTCTGGTGGTGGCTTCACTCGAGCACGGCACACTTGCCGATGCCGACGCCAATGCGCACCTGGTGCCATCGTTTGCTGGTCATGTGTTTGGGTTGCTTCAATTCATCCCTTCCCAAAACAAGGGTGTACGAATTGGATACTATTCATGAATTAGGGACCCTGTTTGTGGTGGGTAGTTGATATCATGGTGGGATGAGGGCTGTCAACAAGGATTATCATCTCAATATACAGCTGGCCTGGAGAAAAAACACGCCCATATCCAATGCCATCATCCCTGGAAAAGACTGATCGTACATGAATGCCAGGGACCATTTGAGGGATTCTTAAGTTGTCATCTAAGCTATTGGTCATTCTATTCATGGGGAAACCAATGATGAACCCCATGGTAGGAAACACCCAGGTAATCATGAAGAAAATGTACATTTCATGACTGGTGCTGCGGTGATATTCATGTTTGACCAAACGGCCCTCCCAATGTTACCTTGAGAAGGGGAACATGAAAGGTGGGCGGCCAAAATGGAGTGAAGAGGTTAAGTGGCATGTGGCAGACCAACCAATCAATGAAGGTGACGATCGAGTGGCACTCTTTGGGATAACTATTGCTGTCTGCTAAGAAACCATAGCAACGCAGCCATGGTTTAGTTTGGTTATGAAGAAATTGGCGGCCTACGTCGGGAATTGAATGTGTTCGGGGAAACAGGGTTGAGAGATGTTGAGAGTAATGCGCCAACCAGGCATGAGGATTGCATCAACATTGGTTGGCTTTATTTTTTTATTTACTGCAGTCTTGAGATTGGAAGAGCAGCCGTTAGCATGAGCAGCTGTTAGCATTGAACTTGTGATGTGCGTCACTGAAAAATTACCGGATCAATGGTCCGCTCGAAGCGAGTATTTGTAGCTAAGAGGCTAAGAGGTCCGAGGCCTCTCCTTCACTCTCTATCCTACACCTAGAATCCCAGATCAAGAAAATGTATACCTCATGATTGTTGATGCAGTGATATTCATTTTTGACTCAACCATCCAATCCCCACAATATTAATATCCCCTGAAGAGTACTATGGATAATTACTACTATTTTGAATAGTTAAAGCGGTAAACCATCGAACTAAATAGATCTAAATAGGCCATTTTGATCCATTTTGCATAGCAAACCGCTAAGCGTACCAACGGGGGATCTGGTTAAATCCCATGAAATCCCATTAATCTATGGTTAAATCCCATGAAATCCCATTAATCTATATTAATCTATTGAATAACCTCAATTAGGGTCCCCAATGGTCGGATACCATGCTAAACCTTTCATGGCGCATCTGAGCACCCCGTACGGCCGCAAGTTTCTCCACAGTAGCGGACCTGCGTTGAATAAAACCGCGGTCTATCGATATATGCATACTTAATCAGTTCAAAAAATATGCATGTGTGTATACATTTTTTTTCTTCTCGGCTCGAAGTAGCTTTCGCTGCGGCCACATAGCCTGAATTCAGAACTGGTAAAAAGTCAGATGTCACCCGGCGAAGTCCTTGCCAAGAAAGTCAGAAAACTGCTGTACGATCAGCTTTTGACAACTGGCAAGAAAAGCATCGGCCTGTACGGACTCAGAAAATGGTGTGGTGTCTGAGTGCAACTGGGTGAAAAAACATCTGGCAAATGCAAGACATAGCGAAGGCGGGTATTCCTTCAGTTTTGCCGTGGCCCATTGGCCATTGGCCTGAAGGCCAATCGCACTACGCTTAGGTGGTTGGTCACAAACGGCACACTGCTTGAGCGTTGCAGGCAAGCTTGGGAGGTTAAGGCACAAAAGCTGCGTCGGCTTTGGCGTAGGTGCTCCAAAATGCCCTTGAAGGATTCGAAGCACCTCAACTCCTGGCAGATGTGTCAACAGGATCAAGATGCGCAGTTTCCAAATGGACGCTGCATCCTCAGAGTCTGGTTCTGCAGGATGTTCTAGCCCGCCAACTCCACCACGCAGCGCCAAACGGTACAGACAGACAATGGAGAAGAGGAGTAAATCATTGCCCACAGAAATCTGCGCAAGCTCCTTCAGCCCCAAAGCATCCAATCCCCAAAGTGCCTCTGCAGTCCTGATAACCCTTGGTCCGGAGCGATTGGCGGCATGGTCAATGGCAACTCCGCGAGCTTTGCTCCAAGTCTCGCACGGCGGGCCTCCAATGAAGCCAACAACCCAGGAATTGTCAATACCGCGATACCAAACCTCCTGTGTGGTGCGTGAAGACGCATCGCCCAAGTCAGTGTCGTAGATGATGTCCATCGAAACTGCATGAATGAAGACTCCATCTTCACAGGTGGCCAACATCCGATCCAAGTAAAATTGGAAGTCACCGGGCCGCCGCCGGCCCGCAAACGCGTGAAGCACAATGCGATGCTTTCCCCACGTGCGCGGAATGGCAAAGGTCTGCTCGTTCCACTGAATGTCGCCACATGCCTCTTCGAGCTGTGGGAGGTCTGTGAAGTGCTCAACTGGGACAAAGGACTCATCAATAAGGAAGTGCCAAGTGTCCGGGAGCTGTAGGCGCCTCACCACATGTAAGACGTCAGCCAGTGGAAGATCGCCCAGATCCTGCGCATCATGCTCCAAGTTGTTGTAGAGTTCACATAATGTAGCAAGGCATCTAGTCCACGAAAGCGGTTCCCTGGTGATGCGTTCTCTCAACGAATCCTCAAGGCGGCGCAATTCCGTGGAGTGTAGAATGATCAGAGCCAAGTCTTCATATAGCTCCTCTAGAACAAGTGAGAAGTCACTTCGTCTGCGCGCCTCATCCAAAGGGCCTTCAGCTTGCAGAGGCGGAATGAGTCCATCAGTGCCCAATCTCATATCCTCATCCACTATGGAGCCAAGCCCTGGCATAGGCGCATGCATAGAACGCAAACCATGCCAACTCTGTCGACAACTCGTGCTTCGAATGAGATGCATTTTCAACTTCCCAAAGGAGTGATACTCAGTGAGGCAAATAGCGCACTGCGTGGTTTGAAACAGATGCCTCACCGGGTGTGTGATGCCATGTGCTTTGAACATGTGCGCTCCTTCCCCAGCCTTGCTTCTGCACGCAAGTTGGCATTTCATGCATCCAAAAGCCGCAGCGGCTGGCTCTCTACGCCGCAACGGAGTGGGCACTGAGAAGTCATGGTTGCGCATGAGCTCAAAAAGTTCATTGTGTGTCTGCACCACCTTGCATAACTTGGCACGTTGTCCGGCAGCATGTTTCATGGCTCTCGTCGTGAGCCGCTTCCAAAAGCCAGGATGATATTGAATGATGTCAAGCCATTGCGCTAGGTGCTGCTTGGGATCTTGCAAGGAACTAGAGTTCCGTAGCTGCTGGTGCATCCAGGTCAAATCATCTTCAATGAGCCGGCACCAACCCTGATCCACATTGAAAAGTCCCCAAGAGACAACTTTGCCAGCTGAAAAAAGGGTCTTCAAATAACGCAAACGTGAGACTCGTAGAAGTTCAGTTGGACTTGGAAGGTCAATCTTGGTAAGAATGAGGTCATCGGGTACACGTTCTTCCGGGCGCACCCCAATGAGCCTCTTGTAAAGCTTCATCACCGCTGCATGAAAAAGACTTTTGGTCTTCTGGTCATCAATGACCCAGGAATCCGTACCGTACAAAAGCCTGCTGAGAACTAGGCATCTGAACAATTCCGCCCTCTTCTTCAACGGAATAACCTTGTTCTGAAAGAGGAGTCTGCGGTATGTTGTGAAGGTTTGATGCGCAATTCCAATGCGCCTGCGGATTTCCTGTTTCAATTCGCCGGAGTGATGAAGAACGCCGCCAAGATGTCTGTAGGCGCCAACAATGGGAATTTGGTAAAATCCCGTATCCCCTATGACTGGAAAGAGCCTCTTGGAAGAAGGACCAAACCAATGTTTTCGGAAACTTTTCTGTCCTTGGCCACGAGTAGAAAACATGATCTCGGTCTTGCCCTGGCTCAAGTTCGGAGTCATGCCATGGGTTTTGCAAAGATCCAGCAAGAAGCTCGAAATGGTGGCTGCTTTGATCTGCAAGCTCGCAAGAGAATCTGAGCTCATGCATATGCATAGATATGTGTATACATACATATATATATATATACATATTATATATACAAATATGCATGCATAATTACGCAGATATCTTTCTCTATGCATGCTTACAGAGTGATATGTGATTCGTCGAAAATATATCAATGATAATCATCAAACATGTTTTTAACACCCGTCCGAGTGTTGTCCACGCATTCCATATCTCCAAGGGTCGCATGGGTCTTTTTTTAGTCTTCTCGCATCATCCTGCAAATTGCAGCACCAGCACATCCCAAGCTCATCTCGCCGTGGGACATGTTGCTACTCCGTCTCATGAACATTGTCACCATTACCGTCATCATGATCATCATCATAATCATCGTCAGGATCGGGTATGTGCAATTTGCAACCGCTCGCAGGTGACGTTCCGCCAGGGCCCGGAAGTTTAGAAGCTGGGACATGGATTGAAGCATCGTCACAAACCAGGAGATGCTTCCCTGCCGTCACTCTTCTCGTTGCTGAGCGAAATCTGAAGCACTTGGTTCTCCTTTCAGTGTTGGATGCTGACGTCTCCCAATAAGCGATGCTCAGCCCCTTGGTCTCTTGTCACCTTAGCACGTCTCAATAATGGATAATAATGGCCCATAATATGGTTGATCTATGCTGCTTGCCAAAAAAAAAAGGCATGGCTAAAGTGTAGCCAAACATGCCACATTCTCCAAGCACCATGGATGATCTGGATCCATTTTCATGTGCATCATAAGAAGTTTCCTATCAATGAGTTATCAAGTTTATCGGTTTACCGATTGCATTCTACGCATTCTACGCATTCTACGTGTTGTTTGTCTGCTAGTTGGTTGAACCTGCTGGCTGATTGCAACTCAGCCAGCACCCTGTTCTATTGGCGGCATTTTCATTAAACTGCCATTCTTGTCACTTATCTCCATTGAATCCTCTATGTTTGTTGCTTTAAACTGTCGTGTGCTTTACTTAATTATGTTGCTTCACCCGCATCAGATCCCTGCTATAGAAACCACCAAACAGATAGAACGGCTCATAATTTACCACTAAGTCTGAAAATGACTCAACCTTTCTATCCAACTATCCCATCGTTTGGACCTTTCTAATCCCTTCCCCCGAATATCAAATACTGCCATTTCTAAATTCTGACCCATGTGGGGGGTGTTTAGGAATATGCGAAGGGATCAAAACCTCATTGCTTGAGAATTTAGTTGCTGAAGTCCTTCTTGTTAATCGTTATATCCCCGTCAAATCCCTGCTGTCACACTCCATTTTTTTGTTCACGTGTTTCTTCCATATTTCCAAGGTCTATAAGTATAGATAGATATAGATATATATACATATATACATATATATATATATATTGTGTATGAATATATATATATTATTATATAATTATATATATATATCCCTCTCAATTATGTACAATGACTAAAGATGACTAAAGTGGAAACATGGACATTTCTCTCCATTTCTGGCACCCTGTTCCCTTTGTTCCCTTTGTTCCCTTTGTTCCCCGCCACAAATGGCCACACTGAAGGGCCCCAGCGCGGCCAGCAGCGCCAGAAGAGCCGAGCACTGGAAGAGTCGCTGATCGCCGTAGCGGTGCAACACGAGTCCACCCAACCAGGAGGCCGAGCCCTGGCCGACGCCCACCCAGCAACTCCTAGGGATGGGTCATGGTCTGGGGGAATGGGAGATTCATGGGCTTCTTATGCTTTGAGATGGGGAAAGATGGGAAATTCAAGGTGTCCTCCATGGTTTGATGGGGAAATATAGGGAACTTCTTCACTTTTTGTGGTATAAACTGAAGAAATCTATGGGAAATTGATGTTGTTTTACAGTTTGATGGAAAAATATAGGGAACATCTTCACTTTTTGTGGTAAAACCTAGGGAAATCTATGGGAATTTGTTTATGGTGAAAGAGTGTAATTTGCGGTAAAATTTTCAGCAATTTTTTGGGCGGGTGGGAATCGGAACATGTGGGAAATCTACACCTTTGGTCTTGGAAAAGATATAGCACAATCTACCATGTGTTCATGGCCGCAAATTTGGGGACCAGATCTCTTGCCCGTAAAACAGCAATTTGCAAGATGCATCCAGCCCTCCAACCCAGCGGTAGGTTTAAAAAAGGAGAAGAATGGAACTGAAGAAAGTTGGGACCGGTTTTACCAGGTCTTGTGAGGGTTTCTCACAGTGGTTTCATCTACTGTAAATGGTAAGAATCATGGAGCTGCTCCAAAAGCACATGGAATGTATAGATCGTTTGCCACAAATGTCCAGGATACCTGTTAAATCCCACCATTTACTTCAAGATCAGCCGCTCAGCAGAAAGCCGCACATCACATTCGGACTAATAGGGTTTGGTGATAAAAGTTATGAAGCTGAATAGCATATAGCCTTGAACATGATGAATCTGCCACCTTACACCAGCGCTTTGGACAACTTGAGTGTAGACCTTATCCAAAGGAGCAGAATATGCTTCATGGGTGAAGTCTGACTAAAACGGTGCATCAAATCCGGCCAAAACACACCATCCAAGGCACCCAATGATAGATTGCATGGTTGCCTCAAGCTGTGGTGGAACCATGTCATGGACCTAGGCGCAGGGCAAGAAACAACCGGTCCAAAGCACATAGGTTCCCAATGGGTGGCCACTTCAAAGTGGAACGTGTCGCTCTCAAAATTGCACTTGGAAAAACAAACAACGAAATCCATCGAAATCCAAATTTATCAAACATATGAATAAATATAAGGTGTATATATATATGTGTGTGTATATTTGTATTATAGTCAATTAATCTTAATTATAGCTAATTGGAATAATTGCACATTATTGGAACATATGATAAATCCAATTAATAATCATTTTTGTAATTGGAACTAGTAGCTGCTATATATATATATATCCCACAAAAAACATCTTCGTTAGAGTCCCTGATAGTTGGTCATTCACCTTGCAGCGGTAAGTGCAGCGGTAAGTGGCGCTCAGAGTTACCGCCGCATTGGCAATGGAAAAGGTGATGCCATGGAGCAACTCGCCTGGAAAATGGGGACCAAATACGATCCAATGAGAAAATATGTGAGATGTGCGGAGTATAGCCCACTAGAGCACTATGTGTTGGAGCTGAAAAAAGGGCCGTTCATTTTGAATGATACCACTCCAAAGCGCTATTGAAACCTCTAGGGTAGTTGAAAATTTGACACCCACAGCATGCGCATCATATCCACAGCCTGGCAGTACCCATGCAGCATCCCAAATTGCGGAAATCCAAGCCTGACAGCTGTGGAGATCAAGCTTTGCTTTGGAGTTTCAACAGGGTTGGGGATCACTTAGAACCAAAGGATTGGGATCACTCAGAACCACAGGATCACTTAGAACCAAACAGCATCACTTAGAACCACACAAATAGGATCAGCAGAACCACCAGTCCGGATGTTTTGGTTGAGGCTGCTATAACCAGCATGGTGGAATGAGACCTTTAGGGTAACACTTGGGGACACGGGGCTGGGACATGGGGTGGGTTTAGGGGACAAGTGGGGACATGGGGCTGGGACATGGGGTTGGTTTAGGGGACCACCAGGTGGAATGAGACCTTTAGGGTAACACTTGGGGACACGGGGCTGGGACATGGGGTGGGTTTAGGGGACCAGCAGGGTGGAATGAGACCTTTAGGGTAACACTTGGGGCACGGGGCTGGGACATGGGGTGGGGTTAGGGGACAAGTGGGGACATGGGGTGGGTTTAGGGGACCAGCATGGTGGAATGAAACCTTTAGGGTAACCCCTGGGGACACGGGGCTGGGACATGGGGTGGGTTTAGGGGACCAGCAGGGTGGAATGAGACCTTTACGTTAACACTTGGGGACACGGGGCTGGGATATGGGGTGGGTTTAGGGGACCAGCAGGGTGGAATGAGACCTTTACGTTAACACTTGGGGACACGGGGCTGGGACATGGGGTGGGTTTAGGGGACAAGTGGGCACATGGGGCTGGGACATGGGGTGGGTTTAGGGGACAAGTGGGGACAACTCATTCTGGACCTTTTTATTCTGAGGCAACTCATCCATCAGACATATTCATGCTATTTCTTGGAGAATACCTGCTGATTTAAATTATTCAAACTGCTAACACGCGCCGAAAATAGTGCGACTGCGTTGTCCACGTTGATGTTCCAAAGTAGGAGGGTGAGATCTCAGAGGTCCAAGGTAGCTATTTCCCTTCCATCAGGTTGTGTCTAGTTGGATGCCGTGAAAACCTCGGCAGAAACTAGATTTACATAGATTTACTGTGTTTTTCTTGAACAAAAATCCAACATCCGGAAAAACAAAACATGTATTCTCAAGTGCCTTGTTTTTGTATGTATGTACGTATAAACATATATATATATATATACATATTTCAGGTGAGGTAGATGCCTCAGTTGTACACGCCAAAACCCGACCCGGCTGTACACGCGAGAAAGCAACTCATTTGTTCACGCGGATGCTGATGCTTATGATGGTGCTGACGGTGGTGATGATGATGATGATGATGATGATTCCAGGACGGTTCTAAGCGATCCAAATTGCGCGGTTCTAAGCGATCCAAATCCCGTGGTTCCAAGCGACCCCGCGACCTTTCACCAGCATTGCATCGGCAGTGAATGGGACTATATCTATCTATATTTTTCCAACACTGATATACATATATATATATACATACATATAAGGTTTCGGCCCAGGGGTGGTAGTTGTGCGACTGTCACTACCCCCTTAGTCTTTAACCCTAGGGCTTTCGCTCATCGCATGTTTGGGCGACTGCTCGCAGCGTGGCTTTGGTGTGACTTCATTGCCCATTTGAGCATTCAGACTGGCGAAGCGGGTGGAACCAAATTGGCATCGGGGCCTTCGACGGAAAAGGCAACGAGCGAGATCCTGCCTATTCAAGGTTCGCATCGGTTTCTGGGGGAGAAAGACAAGAAGGAAAGTGAGACAGGTCTGGAGTTCGTTGTACGAGCACCACTCTTACAATCCACTCGAGTTCCCTTCCCTAGTCCAAAGTCTGGGTGTCATGACGTGGCATTGTCATGCATGCAAAGTAAACAACACGCCAAAGATGACTTATTGTCGGGCTTGCCATGCTCATTGGAGTGCGGTTTGGACAGCACCGCGACGCTCCAGATCCAAGAGCATCAAGAAGCAAAAGAAGGAGGCTTCAGAATACAAGGTGACAGAGCAAGCCAGTCAAGAGACGAACGCATGGGCAGTTTTCCCAGAAAAATTGCCGTGGATTTCCACAACGCCGGCAAGCAGAGCCCAGCGCAAGGTGGAACCAGGAATTGCTATGGACAAGCCTCTTGGGATGCCTCCGCAGCCAGTTCTTCCACCAGCGCCATCTGTCGAAGTACCGATGACGCTTACAGCGGAGAAGGAAAAGATGTTGCAGCATCTCAGAGGTTTGCAGGCCATGGACATGGACCTTACGGAGTCAATGACACGAAGATTGGAGGAGCTTTCCATGAGGGAAGCGAAGGCTCAATCCAGTCGGACATTGACCCATGGACAGTTGAACAAGCTCAGCAAGCTCAAAGTGCAGGTGGCCACAGCTGCACAGAAGATCAAGGACCTGGACCAGGAGTGGACATCTTTTGTCAGCACTACGGTAGCCAAGGTTCGACAGCATGGAGAAATGTTCCAAACATGCAGAGCAGATCTCATGGAACATTACAATGCCAAAATTCAGGAACTGGCCAATGTGAAGCGGGAGATGACTCTGGCATCCCAATCGTTGTTGGGACCCCAATGGACAGAGCCAGTCATCCCCGAGATGCCAGACCTAGAAGTGCAATTCGAAGATTTACAGACCACCATGGAGATGGAGGGGCATGCAGGCCCCATAGATCTAACGGAAGCCATGGAGGAGGAGGAACTTGTGGAGCCAGAGGACATGCTGCAGGGAGCATCATGCAAAGCACCACCACGAGCCCTTCGTCCCTTTCGTGGGTCAAGTTCGCCGAGCAAAGTGGCAAACCACCATCTCAAGGTGAAGGCGCAAGATTCGAAAGACAGCAAGGATGCCAAATTCAAGGACAAGGAGAAAGAGGACAAGTGATGGATACTGTGGCGTTGAGAGGCCATGGTCCATGTGGGAGGCTTGGATCGGCAAGCACTTCTTGCTCTAAATTGACATCCTTTCGCAAGCAAATCAAGGAGTTTTGGCATTCCCATTTTGGTCAACCATTTTCCTGGAACAGTGACATGAGTACAAGGGACGACATCATGGCTCCGTCCACGGAAGATCACAGTGAGGTTTGCTCTCCAATGTTTTCACTGGTGGAGAGGCAGGGCAATTATGAGTGTGAGAGCTTGGCGGCTGCTCATCACAACAGTTTGATTCACCCATCAATCCAGCATCATTGTAATGAAAAGGTCGAGGCAAAGTTGGAACCCCTATGTTATAGCGATGGATCCTTTGACTCCCTGGAGAACATGATGCAAAAGACCATTGAATTTGGCTGTGATCAGGCTAACTTGGATCTGATCAGGCCAGCACAACCTCTTTATGTTGACAAGACCATTTTGCGGGATGGCAAGGAGGGTAACATGGATCTCCTTGCATCCCAGGTCTTGAATGACGATGTTGACACCGATTTTGTGGACAAAACGCATCGCCAGCCCTTTCTGGACCCGTCATGGTGCAGATGTCGAACGGAAGTACAGGGGGATGCGATTGATGCGTGTCAGAAAAGATACAACCAAAAGAGGGTGACCTTTTGTCCCATTGTTGAACTGCATCTGGAATATCAAGAACAGTTATGTACAGCTGTCATGTGTGAAACAGATGCGTGTCGAGCATGGAGGCATTTATGGCACCTTCATGGACAGATTGCAGCGTGGCCTGACTTTCAAGCCGTTTTTGCAAATATGGCCGATTTGAACATGATCTACGCATGGAGTGGGACACCGGCTGTGTCAAATGACGAGGAACTTCACGTGGTGCAGCAGGACTTCAATGAGCTTGCGGATATCTCTGAGAGTTGGTGGACAGCCATTACACAAACATGTTCTCAGAATGATCCGAGGCCAGAATTTATTGCAACGTGGTTCCTGTCACCTGGGCGGTTTCACTTGTGTATGCGCCCCAGGAGAGTTGTCTTTCATGGACACATGGGTTTCTTGGAGTTTGAACATGCTTGTCGAGAGACGTGGAAGGAGTTGATGGATGGGTCGCACCTGCGATGGTATGTGGTCCAGGGGCAGCCAGAGGGCCTGCCTAGCACCAAGGCACATGTAATCATTGTCCAGGGTGATGATACTCCGTGGTCAGTGCTCCTGATGAAAGGAGTTGGTTTGCCACCACTCATGTCCACTCGAGCTGTTCTTTATGCAAAAGAGTGCACTGTGCGGGCAGTCTTCCGAGAAGCACAATATTCAGAGGCATGTGCCATGCAAAATTGTTTGTGTTGCATCCAGTATGAGCAGTTTGGAGAAGCACAGCAAATTGCTGATGATGATGTGTGCAGGGTGCCACAAGCGCAGTACGTGGTCGGCAATCTATGTCCGTTGGGTCTCTCCGATGAGGAGGATAGCGGTGACGCCTCAACTGCGTCAACAGATATCCCTTCAGATGAAGATGATGATGATTCGGTCTCATGGTTGTCGTCATCAGCGACTGAAAAACGGACAGCATGGACATGGGAGTTACATCAAGGTTTCCGACACACCAGCGGCATGGATGAGCCTCCTGCAAGATCACATATATGGGCACATGAAAGGAAGGAAACCAAAGCGGACACCCTTTGGTCTTGGCAAGCTCAAGTTCTCAGGACATCTCAGCAGGTGGACAAAGGCGGGGGTGAGGGTAACGTGGATCTCACCTGGCCTGCAGATGTTGAATCTTCCTCCTTTGCTGAAACTGACGAAATTAGATGGATGTAAAACAGGCCAATTGCCTTACAATTTGAGCGTCCAGATCCCTATCCTTGGGATACCATTGAAGATGCTGATTTTGATCAGGAAGATGAAGAGATTGATGATGATGTCTCATTTGCTCATGGCCATCAAGACCAGGCGCAAGCTTTCCTTGACCAAGCCTTGGAAGGTCTTGAGGAAAGTGAGAGGCGATGGGTTGTTGTGACCTACGGACTGGGTCTAGTCGACTTAGGTAGAAGAGACACAGACTTCAACCCATGGAGGCTTCATGAATTGGAAGGCAAGATTCGCACGCTTTGGGAGGACCACCTGCGATATGGCAGCCTTACAATTTATCATGTTACGCCACAGCCATGCGAAGTGG